AAACGGCGGTCAACCGTCCTTTCTCGAGTCCCGGTGATAGTGCTGCCAGTTCCGCCAGTGCGGTGAGCTACTTCGTGACCTGTGCCGATACCTGCCTTCCTAGGCATGAGAACCAGGCTCTAAAGGTAGGATGAATGGAAAAATAAAAGTGAAACAAAGTTTTCGTCGAGTGGCGACCTATGTTCCATTCGATAACATTTTTCACAGGGAGACAAANTGTGTGCATTTCTTCCCGTTTTCAGCATTGTAGCATTGCCCTTTCTCTTAAGCCCTCTAACGTGAGCGCGCTTCACGGGATGGGCGCACTGTGCAGCACGAAAAAGGACAGAACGAGACTTTTTGGCAAAATGCCATATCTGCCGATCAATCGTCTTCCACCATTCCAGGCTCTGGTGGTGGCAGACAGTGGAGAGCATGAATTTGACACTGAATGTTTTGGAAAAGAGTTCTTTCCTATTCCAAGAAGTTTGTAATGAAGTCGATAAACGATCCTGTACTACTACACTACTTGTGCAGGAATTTGGGATTTAACCAACTTTTTTATCAAATCAAATTAAATGACTGAAATGTGTACAGTTCGACACCGAATGCTATATAGAAGGCTCCTCGATGAGAGATATGTTCTTCCTTTGTTTTCTCGTTCATTCTACTTGACAACCCGATTCTCATGCCCTGGACGGCAGGTTTCGAATTAGCTCACCTCAATGGCGGCTACTGCCGCCAGAAATCGAGGAAGCACGGTTAACCAGCAGATTTGGCATTTTGCCAAGCTTTTGCTCGGAAAGAAAATAAAGTTCTGACGAAGGAGTGGTCTATGTATAACATAATAGCATTTCTTATGAGAAAAGCCGCGTAGCTTAGCTTGATAGGCCAAATCAGGAGGTATGCTGTGTTCTGGTGTTTGTGGCCACACAACGGAGAAAACAATAAAATTCACTCCGGTGGACTTAGGTATTCCTGTAGAGCACTTACTGCGGACAAGAATCTTCTATCGACTACATAACTAACTTTTCAGAATAAAACGGAATATCCGTCCAAACCTAAGACTATGCTTTGCTACCGGTGAAATGTAGTGCCGTTACAATATACTGTATGAGAAAACTCGACACACAGTATGTACGCTTTTTTATATCGCGCAGCATTAGGTCTGTGGGTAGGGGCGGGAGGGGATAAACTTCCAGTAATACTGTGCTGTTAAGATTAGCGAAAGTCCTTCGATGAAACCCTGGTTTGGAAGTGGGGGCATACGGACCGTACTTGACCTTGAGTCAGCATAGTAGGCGATCAGCACGGCAAACATTCCAAAGACAACAGCATAAACCAACAAACAGTATCATCACTGTTCTAATTAGGGTCAGAATGACAGCTCTGTTTGCACATAACTTGTTTTGACTTATAACATACAAATTATGCTGGGAAATATGTGAAGAGACCATAGCTGTAATCGTAAAGGGCCCTTGTATTGATTTTGAGTGTGTCCATGTTGTACTGTATGACTGGAGCTACTCCGTTTCCCCTCGCAAAGTTGACCATTTCGAGAACGATCTACATATTCGGAATCAGCGTCGAAAACACTACTAGCACTTGCAACATTTATTGTCAAATTTTGAAATTTGTTTTTCCCTTGATCTTCAGATCACCTGTGCGCACTATAAGCCACTATGATCTCTGCTATCGATGCCCGATGCCATCGGTTGAGAAAAGAATGGCGTTTGCGAAATGAGGGACCGGCAAAAAAATACGGCGAGAATTTCCGGCAAGTTCCTTACAAACTATACTTGCCTGATTAGAGCACTTTAATTGATCTCAATTATGTAATCCCTTTTCCATGCTGTCGTGTTCAAAAGGATTTACTCCGTTCTCTACTCAATGACATCGTGTTTGACATCAGGATAGGAGTTATACATAGATATATATGATTTGTATGAAGATCGGATTAAATATACTGGGTTGTTAGGAAAGTAATTATGATTTTTAAATTTTTTTCCAAACGTTTGTTTGAGGTGCTTTCCAGATGTTCTGTTCTATTCGGAGAAGTTAGTTATGAGGCCGTGAGATGATCTAAAATTACAATAAGAGTTATGCGGGAATTTGTGATTGACTTGATTCCAAGTCATAATTCGCTCTCTTACGTGGCCCCAACAGTGCTCTCCATACCCTCGTGGTATGATCCTAACCATTCCAAACTACGCAAATGAAT